GCTTACTTCCTTGAAGGTCGACACTGGTGAATGTACTTGCACAGGACAATTTAGTCTTTACAGGCACTCCTTTCAGGATTTGGGCCAGGAAAATCATAGGGCCATCAGTGCCATTGCATCGGGATCTCGGCTTTTGCATTCCATCGTTCTCGACGGTGGCTCTGCCAAGTGGGGTCTTCTTTGGCTACGCTCGGAGTGCCGTGAGCTGGGCCAGGACTTTGCTTTGTCAGTGCATGTGCGGTTTCTTGTCCCCGTACGCATCGCTTCAGCAGCGATTGTCTCTCGAGCAGTTTGTGTTTAGGTTCAAGATGGCCTCGGCTCTATGGGCAGAGCTGAGGGCCAAAGGATTGCAAGATTTAGCTCCTGTCTTGCTGTCGAATGGCGTTCGGTCCATTGATGATGTTAGTAGATTAGAGCAGGACCTCGTTTCGGCCGGGGTGGCCCAGACACAGATTGCAGCTCTGATTGGCAGGCCCAGCGAGCCAGCTGTGCCTGAACCAGTTAGGAGGAATGATCTTCCGCCGATGCCCACTCGGAAGCGGGCGTCGTTTGCGGAGTCCATGGCCGCAGCGAGGCCTGAGAATCGCGAGAGCGCGATGAAGCGGTTACATCAGGATGTGCTGGCTCAGACGACTCAGGGCCCATTGTCGAGCAGGGTCAAGACTTGGCATGAGTGGTGCCGCGCTTGGGGCGTTTTGCCTTTTCCTTTGGATGTCCACAATATTTCTTGTGCCGCTGCTAGCATGAAAGCAGGGGGTTACCGTTCTTGCGCGCAGTATTTTTCTGCAGCGGTCAAGCATCAGGAGCGAGACTTGCACATTCGAGTGGATGACGTGCTCAGGCAACTGATCAGAGATTGTCGTCGCAGCATCTTGCGAGGATTGGGACCGGAGTCGCTCAAGGACGCCTTTGATGTGGCTGCTCTTCGGCCACTGCTCCAGTTAGCCTCTGAACAAGTACGCCCATGGGATGCATCAGACATCGCTTGCATGACAGACGGTGTGTTGCTTTCTTCGTGGTTTATGTTGCGCGAAATTGAGTTTGGGGGCCTTCGTCGCGCCCATTTGTATCTTTCGAGCGGCAAGATTCATCTGCTCTTGCCAGTGCAAAAGACAAACACGCAGGGATCGTTGTGCGAGCGGTCCCTTACTTGCTCTTGCAGAGTTCGTCGACATCTCTTTTGTCCGTATCATGCAGGCGTTCGTCATTTACAGAGACTGAGTTTGTTTGAGGCGGCATCCAATGTGACTGCAGGTTTTGCTTTTCCAGATCGGGACGGCAAGGAGCTCAAGAAGTCAGCGGTGATATCTGCCTTTAGGTGCATCTTGACGGGAGCCGGTGTCGAGACGACCCGTCCGGACGAGGCGGGTCGCCTACAACAGAGGTTTCAAGGGCACATGTGCCGCGTGTCCGGTGCCCAATGGCTCATCGGGCTTCATGTGCCAGTGACAATCGTCCAACTTTTGGGTAGATGGTCTTCTTCTGCAATCAACAGATACATTCAGACAGCCCCGCTTTTGCAGCTGCCGGCCGTTACATCACAGGCTCTCTCAGGTGGTATTGGACCACTTGCGGAGACGTCTTCAGCCGAGATTCATCAGTCTGCTTGTCTGTCATCCGGTGTTGTTTCGGAGGCTTCTAGCTCTGTTGCCGGCGATCTTCAGCCGGTCTTGGATCAGTTGGCTTCCTTGCAGGAGGAAGTTGAAGCGCTCAAGAGGGCGGCCCCGCCTCCCGACGGAGTCCTGGTACAGTCCCTTCGGTCCAGATTGGTGCACAAGGGCCGGGTTAACGAAGCCAAAAACCCGCCCAAGAAGTGGAGGACCGTCTGCGGCTGGCCATATGGTATTCGCAACTTTCTGCGAGTGGTCCCTTCAGATTTCGCAGAGGCAGATCAGTGTCAGAGGTGTTTCAATCCGGAGGACAAAAGCAGCTCGTCTTCATCATCATCGTCACCGAGTGGCGGCAGTTCCATGTCAGCCGATGCAGAGAGTAGTTCCGAAGTCAATGAGTATGGCTAGGCAGGCAGCTCTTTTAGCTCGCATTTCAGTCGCGGCGGATCGCACCCGGGTGCCAAACGAGTGGTTTCAGATCTGTTTTGCTTCTTGCTTCGGCCCTCTCGAAACGTGCCCTCCCGAGGATCGCTACCATGGGCCCTGGATCGCCTCAGTTGGTTGTGTTCGGGGTCTTTTGGTTCGGGGTTCTTTGAGCGGCGACTTCGCAACAACACTCCCGGACTTGGTTGCCATCCTGGCTCAGGGTCCTCCCTTGTTCCAGCAGGAGTTCGACGACAGCGAGTTCAGCGACGTTCAGATGGCCGAGATCGTTCGAGTGCGGTGTGAGGCCGCGGGGATAGTTCAGATCGGCTCAGAGAGCGGCCGTGTACTAGAAAACATGGACTGAGGATAGTCCATTTTACATGGGTCACCCGAGCGAGGGTGCGCTCAAATCGCATTCACGTGCTGTGCGGAGGCAGCCATGCGTGGGTGTACAAACATGCGTCGGTGTTCCCTCCGAGTCTTGCCAGTTGCTCGTCAGCAGTTACGTGGTTCGTGCAGTGCTCCGGTGTGGTCGGCATTGCCCATGATCGATCGCTGCAGGCTCAGGACCGGGTTCGTTTGATACATGTCATGACAGCTGACTTTCACGATTGGTCATCAGTTATCTTTCGCGCATCGCTTTCCTGTGTGAGTGCTTATCTCTAGATTGGAAGCCGGTAATTATAGTGGCCAGTGCACCCCCCTTTTTCGGGTCATGGCGGGGGAGGCGAGCGAGTCGACTCTAGCTGACATAGCCGTCCAAGCCGGGGCGGGTTCGGAGGTCACAGATTACTTGGAGCAGCGAGGGCTTCGCTGTGCTGGGGCCCTCGCTTTAATCGCGAGTGATGTTGATCAGCTTGACAATGTACTCGTGGCTCCACTGCTCGCGGGATGGCGTCCCGACCCCGGAGTTCCAGGCATTCATCTTTCAGATGACGAGAAGCCGATAGCCAAAGCTGTTCTGCGGTTCATGTGGGTGTTGGCGACTGAAGCCAGAAAGCGAGCCGCGGCAAGCGCCGTGGCAATCCCCAAAGCGTCTTCCCCCGCGGCTGCCACGGTTACACCTGCTGTCGAAGCCAAGACTCCCAAGACTTTGCCGGCAGGTGAATGGCGAACTCTCATTGATCGGTACAACAAAATCACCCTTAACGGGGAACCCAGAGAGTTCCCCGAAGAGGAGCTTTTAGGTGCGGAATCGGTCGTTGCACGGGTGCTTCATGAACATCGGACCACTAAATTATATACGCCCATAGGGCTGGGGGAAGTGCTGCAGCGCAGATCGTTTCAGGCCAACGGATTGGTGAATCCGCTCGCAAAGCGGAGTCGCTCGACCAAACTTTCGGTTGAGGACGGCATCTTGCGCGAGGAGCCTGATCAGGAGGACGATTGGGTTCCCCGGGGATCGTTGAGCATCATAGACGGCCTCAATTCCATTCGCTGGATCTACATTTTGTGCGAGGTTGGGCCGGAGACTTGGGTGCACAAGTACTTTGATGCGATGATCAAGCGCAGCCGCATCAAGCCCAACTTGGTGGACAAATTCAAGACCTACTTCGAGCGAGCCTCGTGGAAGCTTTGCTCCGATCTTCGTTCCAATAAGACATTCAAGGAAGCCTCCCAAGCCATCATCCAGGACGTTTCTTCTTTCCAGGAGGCGCTCATCCGGGACGAGCCGGCCGCCTCGATCGCGAACAAGCGGAAGGTTGATGAGACGCCCCACGGCGATGCATCGCAGACGATCCCTGCTTGGAAGCGCGTCAAGGGCAAGGATGGCAAGAACTCCAAAGGCGGGGGACGCAAGGGCTCCTGGAAGGGCAAGGACAGCAGCAAGGACAATGGCAAGGGTTCGGATTGGCAGCGACCTTGGTACCCCAATCCCGGTTGGCGGCGCCAGGACGGTGCCGACAATAGGGCCTAGGGACAGCTCGAGCGGTCCTCAAGTGCCGATGGGGGCCGACTCGGCAATACATCGGTTTCGGCACAGACTCATGTTGACCAAGATGGCGATGCTTTGGATGATGATTGGGGGGTTGCTGAGGTTGCGACTTTCTCGAAGCCCGCTCCCACATCGGCGGAGGCGACTGGTCACAATGACATCGGCCCGGCTCTGGACAACCTGGCGTCGGATTCTGGATCCAGCAAGGGGGCGTCATCGCGGGAGCCAACATTCAGCTTGAAGCTCCCCCCCTTGCCCCACGTCAAGGACGTGATCATCCTATCGATGTTCGACGGCATGGGATCGGCAGCTTTTGCGGTACAGCAGCTGGGCATTCGGATTCGGGCACTTTTCACGTGGGAGGTTGACACGGCATCCCACTTGGTGTCAAAGTCCCTGTTTAAAGGTCTTCGATTTGAACGAGGAGATATCTCTCAGGATGATGCCGCGGTT